CCCCTTTTTTTTTTGTTTTTCGAGTGAATATTTCCCCCGTGCGCTGCATGGTGTGGGTCCGCTCGTGCGCCAAACGTGCGGAATTTATGTTTGGGAGTTATCAGCCTGTTATCCCCGGCATACCTTATGATCCGTTGAGCGAGAGCCCTGCCTTCCACATGGGGTCCCTTCCATCTTTTTTTTTTTTTTTTTTTTTTTTAAATGCACATCCCTTGTCTTTTGTCCCGTCTGAAGTTTTTATAATTTTTTTTGATTGTAATCTCTTGCTTGGATGTTTCACTTCTATTTTTCGTGAAAGATGTTCTACCAGCTTGTGTTGCCCTGTTAGCAGTGTTGGGATAATAAAACTTGTAAAAGTTCATATAACCAAAACCAGTATTTATGAGCTCGCTGGTGACCAGGACCGTAACCAGCTACCTTGTTCCCCCGAATACAACGTCCTGTCATTATAACTGTATTTAGACTGAAAGATACCCCAAATACAGCTATAATTTCCTAACATTGTATTCGGGGGAAGAAAGTAGCTGGTAACCATAACCATAACCAGCTATCTGGTGGTAACCAGAGAGAGGGTTAATGGAGGGCCCAAATTTCGGGGTTTTTCGTCGCATCACCACAAACAATGTCCTCAAACAAATACGTTGAAACTGAATACAGATATACCCTAAAGCGTATAGATATCACACAAAAAAAGAAACAAGAAAAAAATCAAAAATCCAGAGAAATATGGCAGTTTCGGTGAAAAATTCGCCGAAAATCACACCACCTATTAACCATTAGTGACCATAACCAGCTATCTGGTGGTAACCAGAACCATAACCAGCTAGCTACCTGGCTTGATAACCAGACTGTAACCAGCTAGTGGACTCGTAACCAGAACCAGAACCAACTACCGTCTTCACCCGAATAGAACGCCTGGTCATTATAGCTGCATTTGGCCCAACTGTTAGTCCAGATGCAGCGATAATGACCGGGCGTTCTATTCGGGTGAAGACGGTAGCAACTTCAGGTAAGCAGAACCGTAAGCACCTGGATGGTACCGTAACCAGATAGCTGGCTGGGTGAACAGGACGGTAACCAGATAGCTGGTAAGCCAGAACGATTCCTGTTGTGCTTCTTTCCTTTCCTTTCATTTCCTTTGCCCGCTCCCCTCCCCCTTTCCCCACCTTTTCTCCCCCCCCCCCCCCTTTCCCC